AACTTTTTTTTTATTATCGTTGATAATTTCGAAAGAATAACATTTTATATGCATGAATTTAATAATTTCTTCGATAAATATCGTCCTGATACACGAAATCGAAAATAATTCTATAGTACACGGAAATACTGCATTGTAATATATTTCTACTTGTCAATCACAACCGATCTGTACCGTGCCGTTTATTATATATTTCAATGTACAATATAGATGAGTTTTACTAATTTTACTTGATTTCAAAGAAGAGAATCAATGATTTATTTTCATCGTAAAGATCTACTCAATTTTATTATCTATATTAGGAAATGTATATAGATATACAGATATGTTAGAAATATAAATATATGTATATATATTTTTTTTAGAAAATATATAGATATTTTATAAGTATATATATGCACGCACACACACACACTTATAAAATATCTATTTCTTTCTGCTTATTTTTATCTGAATTATACTTTCTATTTCCTCATATCTACATTTCAAATTTAAAATATAATTTCTATGTGCATACAAGTATAATACTCTTGAATCAAACCTGTTCGTATAATTACTTACTTCTCCCCATCTATTTTTACTTGAATTTTATATTCTATTCTTTTGTGTTTATACTTTTCAAATTTAAAATATAATTCTTATCGTGTACAAATATGTATATTCTTAAATAAAAATAAATTTAATCAAAGCTGTTTGAATATTTATCTCTAAGACGATGGGCCTTATTTTCATTTAAATTGTAATTTCTATTCCTCAATTTCAAATTTGAAGCATAATTTTGTCATACACATATTCCTGAATAAAACTAAATCTAACCTTTGCTTTCTATCCTTTCGTGATGTTTATATTTTCCAATTCCAAATTTAAAATACACTCTCCATATATATATTCCTGAATGAAAATATCAATTTTTATAATCAACTTGCGACAAATTAGTCGTAAATCAAATGGTATCATATTTAATAGGTAATCATCATTTGAACAACAAGTAGCATTTATGCGGAACCGGTTTTCTGCAGAAATATTCCTTATCGTTGGTTTGAAACGAGTTTGAACGAGACGTCCTGCTGCGGGCATGCGTACAATTTCATAGTTAATATACTTGTTTTCCAAAAATAATATTAAAAGTTAATACGAATGACCCACTAAACCAGAATTCTAACTGTGTCAATACGCGTGATTATGCACGCATACACATCCGGCAATATAGCGCCTAGTAGCTCATTACTTACGCCCTTCTTCGACACGTATACAATATAGAAGCGGAAAAGGGGACGTCGGTCGATGATGATGCACGTTACTCGTGTTGACTGGTACTTACATACAAGCATTGTAAAATTGAAAGTGATGCAACTCTATATAGGAATCTGATGTTTGCAAATCCATCGATTGCAAAGTAATTTCGATACATATGTACATATATACATAGACACAAACTTCCGTATTGTAAAGTCGATTGAACGACCTTGTCTTCCTTATTTTAATAACAATTTCAATAAATTTGAATTATAGTCAATCAGTGAATCAGTATTAAGATTTTTTAATCTAAATGCAACTCTATATAGGAATCTGATGTTTGCAAATCCATCGATTGCAAAGTAATTTCGATACATATATACATATATACATAGACACAAACTTTCGTATTGTAAAGTCGATTGAACGATCTTGTCTTTTTTATTTTAATAACAATTTCAATAAATTTGAATTATAGTAAATCAGTGAATCAGTATTAAGATTTTTTAATCTAAAGAATTAATTATTATAGTATACGTTTATGCATGTGTCGTTATATATAATTATTAAGAATTACCAATTACTGTTACAATTTCTTTAAAGTAATTTATGAATTAAAAAATTATCTAAGTAGGACAAAAAATGATTCCGAAATTAAATTTATATAAGCAAGTGACACGAATATTTTTAACTTTCATATTTTTGAATATACGTGATTTATAGTATTTTTCTTTAATACAATTATATTTCTTTTTTTACAGTTATAACTGTGTATTTATTGGAATCTTCAAAACGCAAAATTGCACGGAATGTATATAATACGAAAAAATTTCTAATACTTTCTACGACATTTATTATAAAAAACAATTTCTTATCAAGGTTTTATTTTTTTAATTGCATAGTCAAAAATATGAATTTGCACAAAAATTCGCAAATCTAGCTACAATTAATAGAAAAAAATTTAATGGAAAGCATAGTTATACAATACTGTTATGTAGCAGTATCCTATGAGATGTCTGTTTCATTATGACTTTTCTTTTCGCTTTGAATACATAGAAAAATAATTGGTAATGAAAGTATTGTAAAATTCATCATAAACATACAGGAAAAAGAATGAATGATATTTATAGCTATTATGAATATGTTACCATGAAAAGAGTTTATTCATGAACGTACAAGCCTTTATATATATGTACTCACATTGAGTAGTGACCCTTACCTTTCGTTCAGGATACTTTATTGCTCCTAAGTTCAATTGTAATAAGATAATGTTAAAATTAAAAAGCAATTTATTCTTAGAATCATAATTTTATACACTGAAATGAAAAATAAAAATAAATATACAAATAAAAATTTAGCAGAATGCATATAACTCAATTCTATACGAAAATTATCAATTTATTATCAATATATTATATACCTATAAATTGTATTAATTTTATATTCTATATATATTATAATTATTATATTATTTGTATTTTTATTAATTTATTATCAATATTATTAATTTATTAATTTATTATCAATATTATTATATATGACATCTACATGTGAAGAAAACAAGAACATAATTTTGTCTAATATTCAATCAAGTTTTATTTCAAAAATTTATTTTATAAGAAAGATTACTTGTATTAAAATATTTATGTACATAATTTGTTAATAACAGTATTATATAACTAATAATAATAATAATCTGGTAAATAATATTATTAGATTTGAGATTAAAAATTATATATAATTTTCTATTATTTTAGAAATGACCTTAAAAACTGTATGAAAATATTTGATCATAATTAATATTGCTAAATTGCTAATAAAATTTTACAATTTTATACAGTACAGATATATCATAATTCAACGTCTAATATTACTAATAATATTATACTATATAATAATTGTAATAATAAATTGTAATAATACAGTACAGATATATCATAATTCAATGTCTCATGTACAATAATTCATAATCTCAATGTATCGACTTTTTCCTTATGATATATTTTAATTAATTGATGTAATAATCAATTTTTGAAAAAACATCTTACATTTATTATTTATTATTTTTATGACACAATGATCTTTAAGAAAAGAAGATTATACGTTCGTATAACGGATTAATTAAGGAATGGAAAGGTTGTGTGTAAAAAATTAAAAGTAATTAAAAAAGTCTACACAACGTTGAGAGAGAAAAAAGCTAACAATAGGTATAAATCTGTATAAGCAAATCTTTTATATTTCTGGTATTTATTAATGTTGTTAACTGAATAAGTAAACAACTAATATTTAGTATTTAAGACCGGTCCTGCTTAACATAACTTTACCATTTGATTGTGCTTCTTATTATTTAAACGTAACGCATAAATAAATAAATCTCATAATTTCTATAATTCTTAAATTTATTGTATTTATTTTTAAATTTATTATATACACTCTTGTATTTATTTTCGTTTATGTCTACCATATTAACTATGGGAATAAAAGAAAATTACGAATAAATTGAAAAAATTTATTTATTTTATTAAATTCTGTTCAGGAAATGATACCATTGAAAATTTATACAAATTTCAGAATAAAATTACAATTATTTAAAAAATAATTATCTATGAATATCATAGCAATAATTATAATTTATCAATGTTTATCATACACTGATTAATTCTGACTTTCAATTCGTAAAAATTTACGCACTATCGATCCTCGAATCGGACTCACTTGAACGATCAGGAAGAAGATTCAAGGTCGAAGATCTTTCGCAGTCTCGCAGGGTACGATTACCTACCTCTCTACGAAGAGATCGAATCTATCCTTAACAGCAGCATGCTTCGCGAGCGAAAGAATATATATGAAATTTCCTTTAATTTGCAAACAACAATTCTGTATTAAAAAATTTCTCTCCTTGCTATTTTTAAAACATATTTAAAGTATATGTAAAACTTTGAAATTACAAATTAAGATTATTAAAACTATAGGGAGCAAAATTACTAAAAACAGAACATACTCAATGGAAGAGCGATAATTTACAAATCTTCTAATTATATAATTACACATGTATTATTAGTTAGATATTAGATATTACGTTAATTAATACGTGTAATTATATAATTTAGTTAGTAATGAATTAATACGATTTTAAATTAATGTTCAACGACAGACGTTCATAGAAATTAACTGGCCCTATATTAGTTGAAAAGAGTATGAGCAGGTGAAATTTATTTTAATCTTCTTTTAACTAACAAATCTATTTGAACCTTCGTTCTTTGTTATTTATAAAAAATTATTTGAATATTTAAAGTACGCAGGACACAGAGCTTAAAATGAAAATTACAATTCAAATTACTAAAACAAGAGAAAACAAATTACTGAGATAGGAAAATTGCTCATGATCAATTAGAAATCAACAATTTTTAAATTTCAATTATATAGTGTTGATTAATCTGTTTCACATTATTACGAAATATTATTAACAATATTAATATTAATAAATTATTATATAATATTTAATTATTATATTAATATAATATATCTTCAATGACAGCATAATATTCTCATAGAGAAACAATTCCTCCAATCGGTTAAGTAGTAGTCCTATCAGTCCCTTCTTGAACGAAACAAAATCCCTAAGAGGATAAAAACGGACACGGTTGAATTACAGAACCTGGTTTCTGTATCGGCCCGTTTCTTAGAAAGAAAGAAACACAGCGAGAGAACATCCGAATAGGTATCGTCGGCACGTCTCCATTGCCGAAAGTAAAGGAAGATTTGACTTTTTGTTCCGATATTAACGGAACAGCGTTAACCCCGAGGGGCCTTTACGTAGTACAGACCGAAAGGGTAGAGGGGAACGTAGATATAAAGGAGAGAGCCCCGTGCTCCAGGGGCTTAGTACCGTTCAAAGATGCAGGCTGCTGAGATGATGCGTGGTACCAGAGCCGTTTACGATCTTGTGGTTCTAATATCTCTCTCGGTTGCCTATGTCCGTGAGTAAAAGGAATTTTTCGAAATTCCCACGTGAACAAGCGTATATATCTATAAATCTATAT